TACATAAAATTACTGATGTCTCACCATTTTACACAAGCTGCAAGCCAACCGTTATACGCACAATTTTCCTATACCCCGAGCACTCGTAGTGGTGTCCAAACAACAAATAAAAAGCAGCAGCAACAGTCAATTGTTGTCTCAGCTGCCGGGCGTAGCAGCGTGCAACACGAAATAATAATCTTTGTGGCATCGGTAAACTCACACACACACACACACACACACACACGCGAGCAAACAAAGCATGTAATCAAATAGAATTTTATAAGAAAGCCAGAGCGACTACTAACGTTCCGATCAAACTGTCCAAAGTTAGAATGTCGGGACCGCCCTTGTACTGTACGGCAACTGCCATTTAAACGCCATCGATGCTGTCTGTCTGTCTGTCTATTTGCCAGTAGCACGCTGCCTTGCCGCAGCATGTTGCTGCCTGTCTACCTGCCTTTTTGCTCAATACCTTCCTATCCTTTGGTAATTATAGCGGCTACGCCTTGTTGCATCCTCGCCGATGTTACAGAGCAGCAGCCGTGACTGCTAACATACAAGTCCGCACAGCCTCCGCACCGCCGCGCAAGTGGCACAAATCAAAGTGCAACATTTACATACATAGAACCCATTAGAGTGGCGGGTATATAAAGGTAGAAGTGAAGGCAATTTAGGCGATGGAACCGAAGAAGGAGAAGAAGAAGAAGAAGAGGTAAAAAAGTACGCTAGAAAAATGATATAAAAAGGAAATAGAGTGACTCAAATCAAAGTAAAAACACTATGGTAGGTAAAAAAAGGAAAATACAGTACAACAACAAAAAATGAACAGCAACAACAGCATTTACACAAGAATAAAAGGCAACTTACGACATTTCACATGCCATGCCACAAAATGTGCTGCAACTTCTGCGAATATTAAGCATATACATACACACACGTAGATACACGTACACTCACAGCTATCGTACTACTTGCAACAAAACGGCAAGTCCGCCACCAACACGCTTCACTTCGCTGCTCTACGCTAGCCAATCACCACTTCCATTATATTTCAATTGGTATTTAGTATTCAGTGCGACCATTTTTTATATCATACCATTTCTATGCAACTCTACCTTCCTCTGCACAGCATTTTCCGGCAGCACAAAACTCGAGCAACTTAACTTTAAGCGCTTGGTCTTCCTGCAACATTGTTTTTTGCTGTCGGCGCAGTCGCTACCTTAAATGTTTCCCTTCCTTTCTGCTGCTTCCTCTACTACTTCTACTATTTCTACTACTTTTTCTATGCAGCGGTCGAATCTGCTTGTGTTCTAATGCTCGTTCCTTGATAGCTGCCTAGCTGATGTTGGCCATTGCCAGCAAACTCTTTTTTATCTTCATTTTTTTTTTTAATTCTATTTTTTTTTTTGTTCTTTTTTTTTTTTTTTTTTTTTTTTTNTTTTTTTTTTTGTTCTTTTTTTTTTTGTTTTTTTTTTTGTTGCTACTTGTTGTTACAACTTGTGGTTTTAGTTTAGGTTTAAGTGTCTGATATAATGATTATAATTGTGTGGCACGAATGGCAGTGGTTGCAGTGCAAATCAGAAGCATAAAGCTGAAACAGAAATAGAAAAAGAGAGGAGGCTCCTTATAGATGGTTGATAAATGAAATAAAAGTGCAAAATTAACTTTTAATGAGAAATTAAAGCATTGGCAGGCAGGCATGGCAATGCAAAAGGAGTCAGAACACACCTCTGGGGCAATGGAATTTGAAATGCAAAAATTTGTTGTAATAATATGTATATGTAAATGTAGTAGCATTACAATGAGGGAGCGTCTCAGTTTGCTGCATTAGCAAATTTTGTATCGCAAAAGGCGACAAAATGTGAAAAAATCAGCTGAAGAAAAAATTGGTTTTTTAAAATGCCATTTTTCGAAGTTGTAATTTTAAAGTACTACATTTTAAATATTGCATTTACATATATAATTGACGCTTTGTAACCGCTGGAGCGATTTTCGGTCATGCTCCGACTCCAGTTTGTGGTCTTGCGTCTTGTTGTTTTTTCAACAAATGGAGGGACCTAAAGTTTATACTAAGCCGCCTCCAAAAGGCTGAAGGTTTTTTATGAGAAGATTTTATTTCATGACTTAAATGCACTTGGAGGCGTTGACACTCTTTACCCAACGGCGAACGCAATTAGAAAATTCAAATTAATTTTTTATTTAAATTAACTTTCTGTGACATTTGGATGTTGGTCGTACTGGCTACCGCAGCCGCAAGTATTATACTTCTCATCTTTCAATCCATATACGAGAGGATTAACAAAAGTTCTGTAAAAACATGTTTTCGTATTAATCTTTACCCTTTTCTGTTTTCTCTACAAATCGGCATTGATTTCAATGCATTTCTTAAGCCAATAGATCCACTTAAAGAAACAGTGTTCAAAATCATGCTTTTTAAGAAATTCAAGTTCAGCAGTAACCGCATTAATTATCTCCTCGTTTCTAATAAAGACCTCTCCATTAGATTTTTTTTTAATTTTTGGAAATAACCAGAAATCGCAGGATGCTATACCCGAAGAAAATGATGCTGATCATAATTTTTCGATCCAAGATATCGTTTCTTTCTTCCTGTTTTCCAACATATTTTAAAAAACTCTTGGTAAACATTCTTCGGTGTACCCTTTTCCAGTGGAATAGCAGCTCCGGCTTTAGTAAAGTCAAGTGAAATAAGCTGGCATCATTACTTTTACTGCCGGTTTTTGTTGCTTAGATTTTACGGGTGGGCTTGCTCCTGTTGGGCTCCATACCATGGACTGCTGTTTGGTTTCCAGATCCTAATTATAGAAGCAAGATTCGTCACCAGTAACAACTTCAGTAAAGTTGCTAGAATGACCGTTTTCGAATTTTTTTAGGAAAAATTGAGCAAAAAACAGTCGAGCCTCTTTTTGGGCCTCATTTAAAATTCGTGTACCCATCGAGCAGATTTCGTCGTGTATCCCAGGGGGTTGTTTAATATGTGGGAACGAACGAACAGTAAATGGGATTATATTATAAATAACTAATCAAATTAATGTTAAAGATAAATTACTTTGAAAAGAGTACAAAAATTTAATACGAAAATTTTAAGACTCAATATTTCTAAGAAAAACTTCGTTATATCGTATTAATCAAATTTCGATACCAAACGAAATTTTTTCTTCTTCTTCTTTCTTCTCTTTCTACTTGTTCCAAATTTCACGGTAATATTTCTGCAACTCATCAGCCTTCTCCTTTTATGGTTGGCAGCCTCGACTTTGGTATTGCCAAATTATTCTTCCGGCGAGATTGGATCCTCCCTAGAAATGCATAAAATTTCCACTGGCAACGACAAAGCCGTTATTGCCCCTCGCTACCCGAAAATATGACAGTGTTTGTCTACCGTTATTTCTTCTTTAGCTCAGCAGGTATTTTCTTTACCTAGTACTACTGCTTGGGTGATGTTAGCTGCATTCGATAGATGCAAAGAGAGAGAAATCTTTAGATCCTCTGGAATATTTGACTGTGACAAAGGAAGTGTGGTAGTTTGGTTTTATTTTTAAAAATCATCAGCTGTACCTTACTAGGATTAACAACTAGTTCGTTGTTGGCGCGCCATGAATAGTATCCCCATAAGGCTCTCTCCCTACCATCACTGATTGTAGAGTAAAACAGTACTGATACCATTCACACGCCACCATCTTCGCTTCAATTTCTTCACTACGCCTTTGCTGAGTTTCATTAGTATTTCTTTCTGCGTCATCACCCATAGAGGCAGAGATCAAAGATTGTTTGTGTCGCTGATCAGCTGGATGTTATAATCTTTCTGTCCATAAAAGTCCTTCCATAACCAGAAAATAACGTCAAGTTGGCGGGGAGATGGAAGTTTCTCTTTACTGACGATTTGCTTACAAATAGAGATTTGATATAAATGCATTTTTAGAACGCCAGCATTTAATTAGAATTTTTTTAGCTATGCACCGCAGGGTATTTACCGTTACCACAATCATAAACACATTACGCTTTTATCTCTTTTGCTGTGGTACTTTCTACACATAGCCAACTTTTATAAGCCTCCAATAAAAAGATCTTCGTTCGAGGGTGTATTTCTTTGAACTTTATAACTTCCGCATGCGTAAGACGAGAAAATCGACAAAATCGCAGGATCATAACAAGTCTTTGCCTGTCTGTGCCGCCGAATTAATAACTCAATATGGTGGCCGCTTATGCTTTGCAGCCAATTTTATTGATCATTAAAAACGGAGTATGCCGCTAATGGCCACTCTATGCCTGGCTTTAGAATTCCTCAGATACTCGCCTCTACTCTTATGAATATTGGACTAAATAAACTAAAATTCCAAAAGCAATAAACTTTTGCCTTTCACCAATCAAAAATGAAGCTCCAGGGAAATAGCGTTATCATACTTGTTTTTTTTTGTGTTTAACCCGTTAAAGCCGCGAGCACTGGAGCAAGTGTAATTTAAGTATAAGCATAAGTAGTATAAGTATAAGTATAAGTATAAGTATAAGTATAAGTATAAGTATAAGTATAAGTATAAGTATAAGTATAAGTATAAGTATAAGTATAAGTATATGTATAAGTATAAGTATAAGTATAAGTATAAGTATAAGTATAAGTATAAGTATAAGTATAAGTATAAGTATAAGTATAAGTATAAGTATAAGTATTAGTATAAGTATTAGTATAAGTATAAGTATTAGTATAAGTATTAGTATAAGTATAAGTATAAGTATAAGTATAAGTATAAGTATTAGTATAAGTATATGTATAAGTATGAACATTAGCATAAATATAAGTACAAATAAAAATTTTGCAAGCAACAAAAAAATTATAATTTTATATTATTTTGATAATTTTTTTATTTTTATTGTTAGCAGATTTTACTATTTATATATATTCTCTTCTTTTATTGAATTTTTATCTCTCTTTTATTATCTCGCTCGCCTTTTGTTTGTTTTTGTTAACTACCTACTATACTAATCGCATGGTTATGTATTTACAGTTATTGGCCAACAGACCACGCCGCCGGAGTTGCCAATTCACGGTGATCCCTACACGGAAATTGCACTGGATCTAGTCTTCCCAAAGGGGAATCCAACATTCTTGTTAGATGGCAAGAAATTGCAGCTGCTACAACCACTCGATCGCGATGAGGAGAATCTGAGTCACATTGTCTTTCAGGTGAGTAGACGTTTCTGGCTGTATGTGAGTGTGTGTGTGTGAAACGAAAATTGCTATAGTGAGCTTAGAATAAAACAGCATGTAAGCAGAAATATATATGTATATGCATGTTATATTGTACGCCCAAGGGGTCTAGCTTGCGGTTTACAGCTCTACAGCTCTCGAGCTATACAAATGGGATGCTCGTAAGCTTCTTAATACGTTAGCACAAACATACATACATATAAGCCCGCTTGGAGAGTGTGTGTATTGGCTTGCCGCTGTGAGATTTTGTTTGGTGAAATGCAAATTTTTATGACAAAAAAATAAAATTATTTACAGTTGCATGCCACAAAGTGAGCCTCGAAAAAAAAAACAACAAATATAAATATCATACTAAGCGCTTAGCGTATAAACACAAATATGCAAACATTTTATGGCTGCTTCACTTATGCCATTTTTGGCGTGCACCGAAACAATTTTTTAAGTAAACTTCTGCTTCTTAAAAGACCGCTAACTGTTTGTTACTTTAGCTGCAAGAGTATGTGTGTGTGTGTGCCTTTGCTTACTGTTTTATATATATTTCATATACGTTTATTTTTGGCTTTCGATTTATTTATTCGAGTTTTTTCTTCATTTTCGCTGCGCCACAGGTCTCCTGCTCCATTCGCAATGCAACAAATAAGCGACGCAGCATTCCGATTATTGTGCGCGTATCTGATGTCAACGACAATGCACCGCGCTTCATGAACACACCCTATGAGGTCACAGTGCCGGAGGTAAGTCGCAGAAAAAATCACACAAAAATAAATGCAAACATTACGAAATTAAAAAAAAAAATAGCCGATAGAATCTTACAAACGAAGAAGATGCAAATACGCAGGCGCTGTGCGGAAAAAAAATGTAAAAAAATTGTGGAGTAGAAATTAAAAAATATTATTTAAAATATAAGAAAAATTCACTTAAGTCACGGGCAAAACACTGCCTGCTGCCATCTTGATAAGCTGCTTAGCGGGAAGTGACCTGGGCTACACAGCAACGATGGAAATTTTATTTATTTTTTATTTATTTAATGTTTTTTTTTTTCTTCTCCACCAACAACTTAAACGACAGCAAGCATAAACTGCTGTGCTCTGCTAAGAGTCACCAGCCTCCACAATCCACACAATCATCGTAGGCAACAGGAACAATTAAATTTGAAACGTTCTAAAGCTCAATTCTTTGCGCTGGCCAAAGGCTGAGTATTTTTTTCTTTCGCTTGCCAACATGCAGCCAGTCCACTGGCAAGCCATACGACCAGGTGGGTGGCTGCGATTGGTCGCTGAACTGGTTTTTCGCGCCCACGCACACTTTTATTCCGCATAAAATGGAAATAATGCCAAGCCAAATCGCTCGCAATTGCTGCGCTAACTTGGGTATTGGCTACTGATTTTTATTTTCTTTTTTCAATTTTTTTTTAACGTTTTGCTGGTTGATTCGTTCAATTTTGACATTTGCAAGCAAGTCAATTAATCCAAGGACCGAAATGACAAATTTAATTTATGAACCAAAAGTTTGCAATATTTTATATCTTAATTACTCTTTAATTTCGCTGTTACAAATTAAAAAAAATAAAAATTAAATAAACAAGAGAAGAGATGTAGGCAACTTAACTGGGGCAAATACCAACAAATTTGCTTTTGGAAAGACCAAAGGCGGTGCTCAATCGGAGGTCTACTGCATGTAAAAGGCCTGACTTATACCCTTCAAATATACCTTGTAACAGACAAAATAGTAAAAAAAAAATAATAATAAAGACTTTGTGTAAGCGGAACTACAGATCCGGTAAAACTAGACAGTCTCTTTAAACTAGACATGTCTATTTCAGAACCAATGTCGGTCAAAACTTTATATATTTAATTGGTACTTTGTACTCGCTGCAACGGTTTTCGGCTGAGCTCTTCCTCCAATATGTGGTTTGCTTCTTGATGTTCTTTTAACAAATGAAGGAAGCTACAGCTTATACTAAGCCGCCTCCGAACGGCTGATTATTTTTTTATCAGGAGCCAAATGTATTTGGAGGAATTCACATTCGCTGCCGAGGGACGACCGTAATTAGAAAAATGGATTTTCTATAATTTTGGATGTTATTCAAACCAAGACTCGTGCCCTGGTCTTCGGTATGGCAGTACGCAACGCTAACAACTTGGCTATTGCAGCCGAAAGAACTTTAGTACCCGTAGAAATTAGCGTGCTTGCCAGGTTTGGTTCAGTTTTGTTGATAATGTTAGTTCTAATAAATGTAAATAAAATAAACCATTTTTCCTTCTCCTAAGACCAATTCTTCGTGGCAAAATTATTCGTCATTTACAGAAACTGTTGGTCATCACTTGGTGCGAAGCTTCAAACGAGTCACTATCGATGAGTGATCTGACGTTTTTCTAATAAAACACAGTTCGTCTCCTCTTGGCCTAAGCTGAGCGCTTCTGGGTGATTGCTAATACAGGGTCCGAGTTAAGAGTTTGGTGGTAAGAGCGCAGCTCTTAGTGGGTAATTCCTTTTCAACCCCACCTAACAGAAACATAATCTTCCTGCTCGTCAATACTGGCTTGGAAACCGTTTGTGACAGTTTTTTCTTTTCTTTTTGTGTTGCTGTAAGTACCCACTACTTCAGAAATGGGTAAATTCTGTTACGATTCATTGTGGATTTGTAGATGGAAATTCGGTTCATGAAGTTTTTAGCTCGTAGGCAATCGAAAAAGTGCTCCCAGGACATTCAGACTTGACGACTTTCATTATTCTATCGACATTTTTAGCAATTAGCCAATCAGCAAGACCAAAACTGTGCATGCTTAACCGTTACAATATCAGAACCATAAACACTATTCACATTTTCAGCAACTTGACTTGCATCCTCGTCTTTATCGGAAAAAAGGAGCGCCGCATATTCCCTTTCTTCTTGTTTTCCAACAAATTTTTGAATGCTCTTGGTAAGCAATCCTCTGTGTACCTTTTCGCAGTTACCATCTGTCACTTTTCCAGTGGAATAGCAGCTACGATTTTAGATCGGGCCAAGTTAACTAACAACATTTCTTTTGCCGCTGGTTTTTGTTGCTTAGATTTTACGGGTGGGTTTGCTCCTGTTGGACTCCAAACCATGGACTGCTGTTTGGTTTCCGGATCTTATTTATAGAACCAAGATTCGTCACCAGTAACGACCTTACTAAAGTTAATAGACTGACCATTTTCGAATTTGTTTACGAAAAATTGAGCAAAGTGCAATCGAGCCTTTTTTTGGGCCTCATTTAAAAATCGTGGTACTCATTGGGCAGATTTCGTCGTGTATCCCAGGGGATTGCTTAATATTCGCAATACATCCATGGCATTCAAGCCCAATTCATTATCAATCATTTTTTGTGGCAATCGAGGGTCTTCGTCAAATTTGTACTTCACCAGAGCTAGAGTTGTGTCATCAGTGGACGATTTTGGTAAAAATAGTCTTGGGATGGTACAATCATTCCATATGAAATTTGGCATTCACTGAATATTTGTATTCGCTGTAAGCTACTTCGAAACCCGAAGGGAATCACATGGCGAATTTCTGTTTTTGTTGGTGGTGGAATTTCATTTGCCCTATCCTGAGCTATCTTGAGTTTTCTCGTCTGAGTTTTAGTCCATCGTTTAAAATTTGAAAACAAGGCTAATAAAGTAATGACAAAGGATTTGTCGCGTTTAAATTTAAGAAAAGCAAATCGAAAGTTACCAAATGGCCGAACTTTAGTTAACCCCCTCTTTTAAAAATTGTCAACAAAAATCATAGGAATCGGTTAAGGAGGGCTGCGAACCGGTTTTCTTGATATGAGGATTATAAATAAGTATTTAAGGTAATATTATAAAATTGATAGGACTTAGCAAGATACATATATGCAATATATATATATATAAAGTATATGCTATTAGCTCGATTTACACAAGGTAGTTTAAGTGCCAAAAGTCTGGGATGTTTTCTTATATATTTTGATAAAAAAAAACAATCTATCACCAATTCCATATAATACCTTACGAGTATACTCTCATGTCAGTTTTTAAATGAAAAATATTTTAAAAGCTCATTAATCACTAGCCACAAATTAAACGTATCTACATTTACTACAAAATATACTCAAATTTGCGTATATACATATATTCTGGTATATTCGTTCAGTATTTACTACATAGTTATAATGCAACATGCAACTTGCGACGGGCAACCAGCAACGAGCAAAAACCTAACAGCTGCCAGATTGACAGACATGCAAGCAAGCAAAGCAACATCAAAAACGAGCGCTTCGGCTGTCAGAAATTTCACAAGCCAAGTACTTTTTTTTAAGTTTTTATTATTATTTTTACAAATTTTAATTTTTTTTTTTTTTGCTTTCATGTACACACTTTTTATTGCTGTTATTAACGATATGTATAAGCATCTCTGTGGTACATTGCCCTGGGAAATTATTTTGCATACATTTCTAAATACATACATAAGCATGAAAATTAAGCAAAAGAAACTGGAATTTTAGCGTGGGTTGTAAATATGTATATTTTTATGTTTGACTCACATTTTAGTGACGTGTTTTTTGTAAGCTCTTCAGACCCACTTTTTTGTATAATTCTTGCAAACTTATCAACATATAATATATATGTGCAACCATTTAATATTAAGCTGGCAGAATTTGAAAAAACAATTATAAAAAAAAATTATAAAAAAATCTTAAAATATTTTTTTTGAATCTTGTGTTGATCCATCGATTTAAATTCAGATATTTTATTATATATAGCTTATTCTTCTTCTAATTGCCTATGCGATTAAAGTCGAGTCAATCAGAGCGGGCAAGTCATTTCTTCTCCCCAATGGTTAGCGCCTAATCTGATTGCCGCCTTCTCATTATTCGCTGAACAATGACAACGTTTTCGCATATCTCATATGCTCTGAACTATCATTTAAGGCAATGGTGCCTTAGATTTTTGCAAAACCTTTTTCTCGAAACTTCAATGCTGACTTACCATTTTGCCTCCTCAGTTTAATGTTGTACCTACTACGAAGAGTGATTATGCATTGGTTCTTCAACAGTTACGTGAGAGCTTAGACCTTTGCTTGATGACAAATCGCATCGACCTAATTTATTAGCAGACCCATTCGCGTCGGTTCCTTGGAGAAACCAGAAGTAACAACGCAGTTGTTGTGTATTGACCACATGGCTGTCTTCAGTACAAGGTAGCAGTTGGACACTCTACAGAACTAGCTTGTCTGAAACATCATTTTGATATCCCTTGTTGAATATATGGCCCATTTTGGATTAACCATCGGACCGTATTTTCCACAATCAGCGATCGGGAACTCGAATGTTGTACTGTCAGCAGTTGCAGAAGTGTAAAATCACTATACACTGGTCATCGGTCACCAGATTTGGTCTTTGTTTTCCACATTACTATGCTCCTGTATTCAAACCGTCTGTAATTTGCTGCATTTTTATCGTATTTTCCAGCACTGCCCTTGTCGACCAGCATTTCAAGCTGTTCGTGTCTCAAACCTGATATGTATTCCACCACGCACGTATTGTTGTCGAACGCATTGTTGTTTGAATGGCAGTCCGTTTTTTCTCCAAAGCGGCAATCATCATGCCTTCTTTTAAAATTTACGAAAAAAAATCTGCACGTAAGGAGTCGAGTTTTAGGCAAGTGTTCTCAGATGGCACGCAAGGCGAGTAGAAAACCTTTTCGATATCTTTTGTGACTGAGATTTCCGACGTCGAGGGGCACTTTTTGCAACACAGTAACTGGTGATATGGATCTTAGAGCATCGGAGGCATATCTGTCTACCATCAAACATTGCATCGATTTAATTGCAAGTTTTTCTCTTAGTCTTGCCAGGTCATGAAGTTTTCACCTTCCGCTTGTGGTACCGAAGAAAATACTAGATGCCTATCAAAAGCCTCTTCGGTATGCCTTTTCTTGCGCCGGCTTGTGGACACGAGTTAAGGATAAACTGAAGAACTTCGCTTTGCTGCGGATTGTGGAGTTTCTCCCTCACTGAAAATCCAATATCAAATTCGTGCTCTTCCAGAAGAACCCATCTTCTCCAGTTTCTTCCATTATATTATATAACTTCTATATTTGTGAAATAATCTGCTTGAATACTCCAAAAGCTTTATGAAACTAAATGCCAGTCAACAGAGTTATGCCGCTCAGCGCTTACCTGAGACTTTAGCAATTTCTCATCAATTAAACAGCAAAAAACAAACGCAATAAACTCCATTTTTTATGCAAAATACTACGCCTTCAGTCATCAAACGTTCGACGTTGGTATATTAAATCAGCAATTACACTCAATAAATAACTCATTCCGGCGAACGACGGTGTCAGTGCCGTCCAACCTTTGTGTTGCCGATAGCCAATAGCAAAAAATAGCGGTACATGACATTGCAGAGCTAATAACTTAATTTCATTTTCCTAATGTTTTTATGAATTACGCAATTTCATCCAACATCAAGCGCAATTAAGATGGCAGCCGCAAGACCTAAACACAAAGAGTGCCAAAGCTGAAAAATGGCAAAGCAAAAATAAATTAAAAAAAAAACTCTTAGAATAATAATAAATGCAAGAAGAGCAGTTAGAGGCAAAAAAGTATATTTGAAGAATTTCACTCTAAACTTGTAATAATCAATTTCCGCATGCTTGACTGCATTGCTGCCGACACATGCAACCAGGATGAGGCAGGCGCACAGAGACCAACTGGCCAAACGGCCAATAGCCGATAGCCACATGTTGTTTGCGCTGTTACTGTTACTGTTGCTGCTGCTGTTGCTTTTGCTGCTGGTGTTGGTGTTTGTGTTGGTGTCGAAGCGCTTCTAGTTGAACTGGATTTGTGTTGACAGCAAACGAGCTGTAGAAGAACATAGAGTGGAGATAGAATGAATTTGATGGACAGCTATTTGAAATGATGCCAACAGGTGCTGCTGCCAACCGCCATCGTTTGATGTATAGCCAAGTTGCGTGTTGTTATATTGCATCTTATAAACAAGCATCTACATATGTACAAATGTACATATGTACATAAATAAACAAGTGCTTAACGGTGTGCCTGTGACAGTTGAATAGATATTTGTGCAAGAATGCAACCACTTACATTAGATATATATATGTATATGTATATGCGCCTGTGGGAAATCAGCTTGCAACTTGTTTGTTTGGTTGCATGCAATTTCTGCAAATGTTTTACATAAAACTGCACGAAATAGTAGCAACAAAAATTAATAACAAAAAAAAATAAAATTATTATGTATAAATAGCCGAAATAAATGATAAAAAAAAATATAAACAAACTCACCATTAGCAGTTGTCATTTGTGTAAACGTCGATAAACAAGTTTCATTAGCAACATGTTGCTCGTTTGCGTCGTTAAAAGCAACATGTTACTAAGTACGCACTTACGCCAACCAACTGCGATCCGAACTAACAACTAATCAAATCAAAACATCAAAGTGCGCCAAATTGACAAGTGACCCAACGAGTAAGCGCTGGAGCGAGTATGCGACAGCTGTTCGTTCGTTCGTTCGTTCGTTCGTATGCAAGCGAGTATCGAACATTGACTGTCACTTAATTAACAAAAAAATACGCACAAAATTGCATTTGCGTCCAAAAAAAAAGAACAGTATTTCGCAGTTTCTTTTCATTTTTGTTTATGAACTTTAGTTATAAAAACAAAAACAAAAACACTTTGTGCGTTAATCGTTTGTAAGCATTTTTGTTCATTTTAGTTTTGTCGGTGGACTGTCACCGTCCAGTGAATAGTTTGTCAGCAAATTTAATGGCATTTGCTGTGTCTTGTTGCCGAATTTACTCGTTTGTTGTTCATAGAGTGATTTACTTGTTGTTCGCAATAGCAATTGACAGTTGCTTCTAATAACTGCTGAAATATAATAAAAAAGGCAAAATGTTTGTAAAGTTGTTGGCAACATCAAAATGGAAATTGCACTAGCGAGATAGGCTTTTAAATATACATATAAATATGTAAAATAAAAAAAGCTTTTTCGCTCTTGTGATGGCACCCGGCACTTGTTTGAACGTCACCGGTTGATTGAAAAGTTGTTGCGCCGAACGCATGCGTAATTTGAAAATAATTTGAGTGAGCTGTCATCTAGTTGTATGGGCGAGAAACGCGGCTGCGGCTGCTAAGTTGTTGGCAAAGCTCGCCACCATGTGTCTGCCTTTCATGCAATTTGGAAAAATATATTCACTCTGGTCTAAAGTATGTAAGTGCCATCAGAATTGATACCGATCGAAACAAAATGACGCCTTGAGTTGACTTAGCTACGTCCTTCTGTCGGTCTCTTTCCCAATTCAGTCCCTCAGTTTTTGTCGAAACCAGCTATGCTATATATGTATGTGGTTTTGGTTCAAGAATCTTTCAGAAGAGCACTTAAGAGTTTAAATTGAATATGAAATTGATATTCAACACAAGTGAGTTCAACTAAAGCGAAATCGAACTTTCCATTTTGCAATAAATTTAATAAGTTCATGGAAGGTACAAAGACTGCGACATGACAGAAGACAACACTTGAGTCAATTGTTACGCATCTCAGGTGCATATGTCAACCCTCTCAAGTATATTCCTGGTGTCAGACATTCGAAGTTGGCTTGAAGAAAACTGTAGTTAAAAATATTACGACGCTCACCACAAATTGGAAAGGTGTGCCGAAAATTGTTATAAAGTCCTCCGGCAATGTGTTTGTCTTGGTGTTTTTTATTTAATGCCAGAAATACACTCCGACTGTTTGAAATTTTCTGCCGAGGAGCATAAGCTATGGCAAAATGTAACTTAACTTTTTATTTTTATTATTTTTCAATAATATTTGGACCACGACTTAACCTCAGGCCTTCCAAACGGCGGTAAGCACTACAGGCCAGTCGGCTAAATAATTTCTCTTAGCTAACTTTTTCCCAAATAAATAGTTTTTTCTGCACTAATTTCGCGCTTTCAATTTCTTCAACCTTATGCATTTCTTCTAATTAGCACCAAATTTTATTTTAATAACTTAATACCGCCTCTGAATTAAGAATTATTAATGTGATTATAAGACATGGAATAAAAATTTTATTTTTCAATGAAAATTTTATGACTGCAAAAACACCATTCATCAACGTATAAAGAAATTCATAAGAAGCACTGTTATCGCTTGCCATAAAGGCTTCATAAACTAATACTACAACTACAACAAAATATTTTTCTTAGCATTATTTTATTTTATTTTAATCAATTTTTTATAATATATTATTTTGTTTATGTTATTTTATTTAGTTTTATTTTATCTAATTTTTTTATTTTATTTAATTTAATTTTATTTGGTTTTAATTTATTTTATTTTATTTTATTTTATTTTATTTTATTTTATTTTATTTTATTTTATTTTATTTTATTTTATTTTATTTTATTTTANTTTTTTTTTTTTTTTTTATTTCATTGTATTTTATTTGATTTTACTTTACTCAATCAAATTTTATTTTATTTTTTATTTAATTTTATTTTATTTTATTGCAATTGATTTTTTTTTATATTTTAATTTTCTTTCACTTTATTTAATTTTTGGTTTTATGTTTTTAACTTTTTTTGCGTCTTAAGTTTTCGTGTTGGCGCAATTTGTATTCATATTTTCAAGTTTTACATTCTGATATTTTTAAGCGCGAAATCGTGATACACTACTCGATCAGGCTATAAAATTCTTAAATAAATTTATGTTTTTTGTCATTAGTGTAAAAACTTCTGTTTTGGATTAGAACTTAAATAATTTATAGTTTATGACTTCATTGACAAAAAATTAATACATATACATATAAACATATATGTGTATGTAAATATGTTGGAACTCCTGCTGCTTTAGAATACTTACTTCTTTTTTTATTTTTCAAACACTCACAAATAGTGTTCACTTATGTATTTGTAGGTACACAAAACACTTTCAATTTTAACCTTGAATTTCTGAGCAGTGCCTGTTTAAGAGTTTTCAGGTTCTCCATTTGTTTCCAACTCTTATATGCACATGATTTAACACTTACATATTTAGTTCATGTCCATTCATATTTGACGTTGTGTGATATGTGCATGTCATGCAGTGAATAAGAAGTGGAACATTCGTGCATACAATCGTACAATGACTTGAGCTAGAGCACTGTAGACTACTTTTATGCCTTTGTAGGAGTAATAGTTGTTGTTGAGTGCATAGTTTGTCTCAAAATAATGACTTTAAATTTTGTAAACAGAAATGTAGTTCAAATAATTTTTGTTAATTTTTCTCATATTTATTGTTCTTGTTTTCTTTATTGTTGGCAGTTCAATAGCATTCACTTAGTCATTTCCTGTGCAAGCTATTCACACAGTTTGCCAGTACATGGTTATAAGAAAAAATTTTTTTGTTAATTTTTAAACTAGCAAAACCATTTTTAACATTAGAAAAAGCAGCAAGCTCTGAAAAAAAATATTCCAAATATTAATAGAAAATCTCATAAAAATTTGTTTCCTTTCCTGGCATTTAGATCAACACTTTGGCTAACCACGCCATGTACTGTGTGACTTTCAGGCACGACGCAGCTTGTGTTTTTATGAGGCATGCAACTGGAAGTTTTTAGTCATTTTAAGTGTTTAATTATACGTGCCAGCATGTGGGTTTTGCGCACATTTGCCTGCATTCTATGTCTGTCTGTGCTTATTATATTACCTACACGAAAATGGAAATGCATACTCATATACATACATATATGTATTAGTTTTCCATATGGTGCGTTGTGGTTTCTCCTTTTCTACTTCGAATAATCGTTGTTAATTTTTATGCACAGCAGTTCGTAAAAATATAAATTAGCAATCTTGTAACTGAGCGGTACTTAATTTGAATTTTTTTTATGCTTCGAAATGCGGTAGTTGTGTTTTGGTGTTTATATTAATTGAAAATTGAGCTAATGACTAACTAGTAGGTGCAGAGATTTCTTTTGTAAATTTTTTTATTTTTTTTTATTTACCAAAATTGTTTTTTTATTATTCTGCGCATATGCACATACAGGTTTTTATATTTTAAGTTTTAGTTTATGTTTTTAATTTAACAATTTTTTTAGTCGAAATTCCAATCTCTTCACATTTGAAGGCCTTTTAGCTGAAATTTTTTACATGCAATTAGCTGTTGTTTGTTAGATTTTGTATAGTTTGATGAAATATCTTTGATTTAATTGTGTTTTAAATGGCTTTACAGCTCTTTGATTTCAACTTTTTTACTGTTATGATGTCAATAATTCTTAATTAATACCATTCAAATGTATGTGAACTGATCGCTTGTTGCTTATGAATAGTTTGTGTCTTAAGTCTTCTGTTTTATATGAAAGGAATGTAATAACAGATATACTAGCTTCGCACTTACATAAGTGATTAATTTATTACCCCGCCAATTTAGTACTTGAATACAAGTGTATTATTTTGGTAAAATTAAAATTTTTTCACATGACAAGCATTGTTCGCCTCATTTTATATGTATGTACGTATTTAAAATCATATTGATTACTATAATAAAAAGAGATTGTTGAGTTTTGTGCGCTGAGAAACATTGTAAGCGAAAAGTGTTTGGCAACTCTTGGCTCATAAGACAGATCTTGTGCTAAGCATAAGGAAGTATAAAAATCGAAATTGGATTAAAGTAAAGTTGAGAGTGGTCGCCATTACAGTCAAAACTATACACCAAACACTAAGTAATTTGAAGCACTTTTCGGGGAGAAGCCGTAAGAGAAACTCAATGTATAGAAGCGAATGAATAAGATAACAGGATCCCTTTATATATGTAAAAGTTTCTATTTCCATGGTTTCTAGTATGTTGTGGGGCTGCGGAAAAAAGACTTATCCAAAACTGGAAAGAGTATTGATGCATCACCCAACAAACAGCCCATACAGTGATAAAACCCAGAGCATTCCTTACTGTCGCGAGACTACATACCTCAAATCAGCTGATTACTACGGTTTACGAATGTTGTGGCGTCGAACTTAAGAGCATAAAGAGGCTACAATATAATTCTGTACTTTGCATTTAAAAACCTTTTAGTAGCTACTTTTAGTATCAGTAGGGTACAGCAAAGTACTTAAGCTGGCAAACAAAGCTTTGCTTTGAATTTCGGAGGGGAGGCTGAAATTTAATGCGTTCAGCCGGAGATAAAGAAGTCATTCAGGCCGCCAAAGAACTGTAGTATCAAATAAGCTCGCTTGTGCTATAAAAATTTCGGCTGAGCTACAACAAGGAACTGAACTACACAAAAGGTGAATTCATAGTTACGTATA